CCTTTTTGAGATGGGTTCTCCAATAAAGGTTGCTGGATGGGCCTTTGCTGTTACTGGGGACACACAGAATAGCTGACCCTAACCTGTCGCTCCCAGATGTGATTGCTACAAAGGCTTTGCTACCCTCTCTACTGGCTGCAGATTTTATGAATATTCAGGTTAAAGTGATGTTTCTTTATGTGTGGAAGCTGATAAGAGGGTGTGACTGTCACTGGGATTTAAGGCTCACAGCTCATGTGCTGACTCTCTGTCAAGTTCAACCTGCAGGGAGAGAATAACGAGGCAGGTGCATGAAGAGTCTTAAAGCCGAGAAGATACTTCGTATCTCTTCTCATGCTCCAATCCCTGATCAGCCCGGTCCTGAAGTATACCACCATTTCTTCATAATTTAATAAATTTATGCTTATATTCTTACATTCTTTCCAGAAGCTTTCTGTAATTTGTAACCCTTAAAGTCTTAATACTACTTAGATTCTAAACTCAAAATCAGCAGATTCAAATTTCATCTGTGATCATATTGGTAACTGCAATTCGATTATTTCTGCCTTTCCTAGATGACCACTGAATGATGAGATCCTTCCCAGCCTGACTTGAAAGATTGATAAGGTAACCCACGCGTCTGTTTAAAATGAGTATATTCAAAACCTTGTTTGTGCATCCCAGGCACTCATTTGTGAAGAGTAACTAAAATGTAAAACCTTTTCCCAAGTATGTATAGATTTCATTCTAAAGTGACCCTTTGGAAACAATGGAAAGGATATTAACTAATTCAAAATATGCATGTGTAAATAAGGTGTATATAAGATATTAGTTTATTGTTAGAACAGATGGTTACTTTCTAACATACGGCTTTAGTTTTATTTATTTATTTATTTCAAATTATTCTGAGGGTACCAATTTTTAAATTATGTTGTTCTCATTTCCAGGGGCACAGTTACACCCTCACAATGTGCACAGTAGGTGAGATCCTGCCTCATGCCCCCCTCTTTCTGCCAGGCATCCTCCCCCTCCCCCTTACCCCTCCTTTGTCCTCCTGAGCTGGTACTAGAGTATAGACATGTCGCATGGAGGAGGTCTCAGGGAAAGCATGGTTCTCCTATGTTGGCCAGACCTCTGTGAGAAAGTCGTAATCGTTTTCTCAAACGCTGAGGTGGTTGCTGGGCCAACTCCCTTCAGCCGTGTGGGTTACCCTGCAAGCCCTGGGGAAGTGGGACACAAGTTGGCTGTTAGAGGCAGCGGGACGCCCGTGGGCTGCTGCTATGGGTGGGAGCCCCGAGTTAACGGCTTTGGCCAGGCTGCAACTCAGGTGCCTAGCCGCGGGGACTGGGTCCCACTGGCCTGGCCCCAGGCTCTGCTGAGTTCCCCCTTTCAGGCATTGATTGAGCCTCTTTCCATACTATGGGACATTAGGTGAACTTGTCCAGCTTTCAAAGTCATTTGCCTTCACCAGCAAGGTCTGGAGACTTCTTGGTAAAGGAATGGAAACATCAGGCAGAAGGCTGGGAAAAGGTGGTGGGAGAGTGTAGAAAGGAAAATCGGGTGACAGTGCAGAGTTACAGGGATCTGTGTGTCCCCAGAGGTTGCTGGGCAGCTGGAGTCAGTGCGCTCTGCTCCAGAAGAGCCTCTTGTCACGGCTGCAAGGGACGCTGGTGGTCCCTAAAGTTGGAGGCACTTGTCTCCAGGGCACAAGACACATCGTTGTGGATGTGAAAAAAAGAAAAACCTAGAGCATCTTTTTAATTTTTCCAATCAATGATCATAATAATTTTAATGAATACATTTGTATACATTAAAAAAAAAGTTGAGGTGGGGGAAGATCATTCCTAACCCCAGTAAGAAGCTCTGGAGGTGATTTGAGATCATTGAGAAAATTTTCTCAGGCTGAGCGGGTGAGACAAATAAGAAAATTGACTGACTGCCTTTACTGTTCCCTTCATATGGGAACAAATCATTCTGTTCTTTGGTATTTATTAATTTATCTTCACTGAATAAAATTCTATTGGGAAACCCAAGTACAGTGTAGTCCAGGAATTCTCCTTACTGTGTGCATGTTAAGTCAACAGATGAGGCGGAACAAGACATAGTGGGTTAGACCTGTAGGAACCTTCCGGGAACATTCCCGGCTCAGGATAGGGCTTCTCAGAAGACTGAAGGAAAATCTTCCAAGTTTACCAAGGAGTTGGGCTAGCAGAGTTTTGACAGCTATAAGCTAGTTTGTTGATCCAGAAAGCCTGAACTTGGCCCTCCCTGTTAGATCCTCCTAAGATAAAAACCCTGATGTATCTTTCCTCCATCCCCTCCCTCTGCAGGTGGTGAGATGGAGATGAGATGTATTCCTTCCCAGACGCAACAGAAATGTGAGGCCAGTATACAAGGTATAGATTCTCACTAAAGATAACAGTAACTGTATAGAGAGCTCGGTGGGACTCCACACTCCCAGAGTTCTCATACACTGTTCATTTAATTCCCGTAAACACAGGAGGCAGGTACAGTAATTACCCCCATTTACGGAACAGGAAACTAAAGCAGAGTATTAAAGTGATCTGTCCAGACTGCTGAAAGTGGCAGAGCTAACACTGAACTCAGCCCCTTTGGCTGCAGAGTACATGATTAAAACAACTTTTCCTGACTTTCCTTAATGGTCATAAGCAGGCTACAGCCACCACGTATGCCCACTGTAGATTATACTACTTGGCTAACTGACCTTTGAGCCCCCTGGATTTACCCACAAGGTAACCCTAAAATGTGCCATCAGATGTTGCCTACGCCTGTGAAGAAGTCTGGGCTTGCACTTTGCTTCCCGACTGTGTATCTATTGGAGATGGAAACCTTATGAATCTCGGGAAATGCTCTTGATCTTAGAGCAATGTTCTTTTGGGGTCTCTGAGAATCATATAAAGGCTAAGAACCTCCCCACATAAGAACGCTCACCCACCAACACTTCTGTGTAATGTCCATCATCTCTAGAACCTTCTAGAAATAGCAGTAGTAGTTTCTGGGGAGTGACTCTCAACTTTGAATGTTGATGATTTTCATTTTCAAATGACTTACATAAACGCATGATTCAGAGAAACTTGTATTCACATTTTACTGGTGGTGTTGCTTTTGCTTTTCTCCCTGAGGGGACAGTTCTGTGGCAGGGTTACAGGTGGCCGTGGTCAGCAGCTGGCTGCCTGGGGACAGCACGGCTGTGTATGCCCTCCTGGGCCCCAGGAGGACAGAGTGCACGGTGGGGGCCCAGGCCCTGCTGATGGCCCTGCTGAAGACCTCTTTATTGTCATGGCAATTGTAGAGGTGACAAGGGGACCACTTACAGAAGGGAGTTACTGCCCTGTTACTGCCAATCGAGTCTTTTCAGATTATGGCATTAAGTGGGTCAGTGTGTGCAGCGCATCTCTCTGGCAGGAGTTCACCCAGGCAGGCTCTGTTAGTATGCACCGAGTGGCACAGCCACGCGCTCACAAGCTGCCTTGGTCTACTTCAGCCACTTTTTGAGAATTTTGTTCTTTGGGGCAGGACAGAGATAAAGAATATAGAAAAAATGATAAATGTCTGTATCTTTTTCACTTTTAAGGTCCTCTGGAGAAAGAAATGATATGAATTAACATGAAACCCTTCCATGAGATTGTGGAAATATAAACAAGAATTATCTCTGGAATTGATGTCTCAGTTCTTAGCTAAAGACTAGAAATATTTGCAACTCTGGACAGCAGGTGGTTTCATTACCTCTGTGAAACTATACCTGCTGCTTTGGGCACCGTCTGAGGGTGCAGGATGAGTGTGGGAACCGTGGGTGGAGACCTGGATTCAGTTTCATTTCTGCGGTTTACAACTTAGGTGATCTTTGACAGGCGATCACTGTCCTGAGCCTCATCAGCAGAGACTGAGCTGTAAGGGCCTGTGAGCTCTTAGCTGTAGCAATGAGAAAAAGCTGCTATGTTAGGAAAAGACAAGTTCCTGTGTGTGTGTGTGCGAGTGTGAGTGTGCGAGTGCGAGTGTGTATGTGTATGAGTGTGCCTGTAAGTGTGTGTGGGTGAGTGTGCACAAGTGTGCACGTGTGTCTGAGTGTGTGAGTGGCTCAGAGTGCGGCAGTCTCACAGCTGAACTGTAGTCTGTGATCTGTGTTCCACTGAGGAGGGACGGGACTTCCAGCTCCATCTCAGCATCGTGGATACACACAGGCATTGTCCCACTGAGGAATGAAGCCAGTGCATATAATTGCTTTTGAATTTCTCTGAATTCTACTCTCAAGACCAAGAGCAAAGCATTCTTGATTTTGTTTTCACTGTGACAGAAATTTAATTAGTAGGTTAGACCTATGCTTTTTAGTTTTCTTCTCTAAAGTCAGCCAAATTCTTTATTTTATTTTTTAGCAATTATTCCTATTCTTTTTTTCATCACAGAAGTTCTGGGATGCACTTGGTTTAGTTGAACTTAAAATGACTTAAGAGGGAGGACCCCCTTGTTTTGCTGAATAATGTACTCCCTATTTAAGCTACTTTATTTCAAAAATCTTAATTTTTCTACATAGCATCTTCCTGCACCATAGTCTGAAAGCTTTTTAGGAAGGCTATCACCTAAGCACGACAGAAAACATTTAGCAAAGAATAAAGAATATAAAAGATAAAACACAATATAGTAACTTTTATTGTATGTATGCTTTCAAAAGACAGGAGTACAGGGCATATAATATTTTAATGCTAACATATGCAGCCTGAAGGGAAAAAAGGAGGGTAGTAATGGTGTTGATATAGGTCGTACACTGAGTGTCACATTAGATATGAGTGCTTTGGCTCAAGAACAAAATTATGCTTTTATCACAAAGTTTCCATATATCACAGGAACATCCATTTGAAAAGCGATGTGATGGTAAACATTTTGTTTCTTTCTACAACAGAGGTTGGTGGTAATTTTATGGATCCTTTGTGTTAAGAAATAGGGTTTCTTTCACATTTTGGTTTCCTCTAAAGGTCGATTCATGAAGTCGTGAATAGCCTGATGCAGGGGCAGCCATTTCTTGATAGAGGCTTTCAGAGCTGTAATCCAGCTGCAGAAAAAAATAGCACAAAAGATTGCTGAATGCCGGGAGGTGAAATGTTACGAAATCCTTTTATCTATTTTCTAATTGTTTCTCTTAGTTATTTAGTCTCCAATCAAGAGGATAAACCAGGCTGCTTAGATTTTGGACTAAATAAAAACACAAAATACCAAATGTGGTAGATGCAGGGGTACCAATGAGGTCCGCTGAGTAAGGAACGTGAATCATAGCATCTGAAGAGGGGGCATTGCTTGGAACTGGTGATTAATGGAGCAATGGAGTTTTACAGATCGTGATGAGTATTTTATTATTTCTGTTTAACTCTGCAGTTGAACTGATCGAACACACAGTAAACAAATATGTCCACAAGGCCAAAGTATTGCTTCATTAAATTCTGGAAACCACAGGAAACTCCAGTTAACTCTCCTCTCTTATCCCTTCCTTTGATTTTCTTGAATGAGATTTTATAAAATCTGTTCATGTGACATTTATTCTAAGGGAAATTAGTAGGTGTTTTAAAAAACCTGCAACAATCAAAAACAGCTAATCAGGATTCTCTCCAGTGGGGTGTCTTGTAAACACTCATAGGACACCGTGCTCTGTGACTCTCTGAGACGGATGTGATTTGTATAATTTCCTAAATTACTGCAGAGGGAGTCAGGTGTCTTGTGGAACCAGAGTTCCATCCACATGTGACATTCTGCTTTTATTCTTTGAAATATTTCTGTACTGACTTAGTATTGTTTCTCGTTGATGAAATCCCCTTGTGAATTTGGCAGTGAGACCCAACTATTCGACCTCCCCCTCAACACCTCTTCATTGGCCTTTCTCGGACATGCCAGCAGGACCTCACGTTTCAAGGGCTCCATCTTAATCTGCTGTCCAGGTGGCACAGCACAAGCCCAGTGAGGACGGTCCACGCCAAGCATCCAGCGGCTCCACACTCATTATCTGCCCGTCTAGCTCACCCTTAAGAGTGAGTGGCACAGGTGAGGCTTAGGCAACAGGGAGGTCCCCTCTCCCTTCCCCAAATGGTTGCTTGATGGAGAACCCTAAAATTCCACTGTTGGAGTTTTATCTCTTTGAGTTGCGATAGTCTATCCTGTTCTTACAGATGTCTGTGGGAATTTTACCATGTCAAGAGGTTTAATAAACAGTTGTGAATTTCTCTATTAGATCCTTTCCCCCAGATAGTTGGAGAAAAGGCTGGATGAGGCGGGGTGGTCATGAAGCCGCAGAGGGTGGGGTCAGAGGATGGAGGGCACTGGGTGTCTTGGGATTGCAGTTGGGTCAGGGAAAGACTTGCGGGATGGAGGGGGATGCTCTGGTGAGTGGAGAATGCTTCCTCTGCCTCGCAGTTTTCTCCCCGTTACTGCCCATCTTTCTCAGGATCCTTGTCAGCTAAGTGCCCTTTGTGCCTGTGACGCTGTGTACCAACACCTCATGGATTAAATAAGCCTGTGTCCTTGTACGCCTTATACCCAAACCAAACAACCGACCGATGGATATATCAATAAGAGTTATGTGAAATGAGGCAAAACAGCTGTTCTGCGAATTAATAAATGATAGTATTTACAGATTTTGGTGATGGTCACCTTCCTGTTGAAGCCCGAGTCAGCCATTGCCTTGGGAAAAATTGTGGACTATTTTCCATGTGAAAAAAAAATACTTCTGTGAGTGTTAGAGTCATCTAATACTGAGAGTCATCTGAGGATGCATTGAAAAATATCCAGGAGAATATTTACTATGGAGACTGGAAGGAAAGGGAGGGACTGAACTGAAATGTGGAGTTGGAGCTGGAACACCATGATGAGGGTTTGCTAAGAGGGCCTTGTCGGGACTTATGGAAAGGAGAAACAAAGACCTTGACTCACCGCTGGTTTTCTGTTTTATTTTCTGCACAGAAATAGAAAGTCCTGAACTCTTCAGATGGAGGTTTGAGTTCAATTACTGATTGTTTGGCGCTAAGGGTCTGTTCACTCACCCTGTACCCTTGCAGATAGAGGCCACCTGCAGACAGTGAAATAAGAAATGAATGAGGACAGAGAGGGTAAGAGGAGAAACGAGGTGTGAAAGAGTTCTGAGAAAATTTTGTGTCTGAAGGAACCTCGGCCCAGCTGTCTCATTTGACAGATGAAGAAATCGAGACTACGAAAGAATATGCAATTTCAGGTCACACACTAATAATTAGCCAGCGGCAAGACTTGTAATGGCATTTAGATTTCCTGGTTTCCATTTTTGTAATTTTCTTGCCACATGTTCAGAATTTAGCTTTGGGTTACGTGTGCCCAGACTAGCTTCTTTACCTGAAGCTCACATTTCGAAATAAAATTTTCAGTATCACAGAGTGACACCTGTGATATCACATTAAGGGGAGAATTAAGTCGTATTTGCTTGGGAAGAACCATTACAGCATCTTTCCCAAATAAAGAGAAAGTTTCCCAGCAGGGTCTGCACCTGATACATTCTCACCTCCTTTGTGCATAAGCAAAGCACGTCTAAGCCAGTAACCCGTAGGGTGAGCTGAGCCAACTTTGGCTAGCAAGGAAAGTAAATGACTGGTTTTTAAAGATAACTTCCCCCTTGCAGTCCTTTGAATCCCATAGAATGGTTGTATTTGCCTGGCCTGAATTTTGCTTCCATTTTTTGGGGGCCAAGAGGAAGATCTCGATCTAGGAGAAGGTTCTGGAAAATTGAAACTTTTGTCCATGTTTTATGGTGTCTTGAGCTCCGAGGCAGCCTGAATCTCTTGCAGAGACTCTGGGCAGTGTGAGTAACGGTGGTGATCAGGTGTATAAAGCCCTCTTGCTCTTGCTCAGGCCTCTCCTCATCCTTTACCTCCTCCCAAGAGCCACGTTAGTGCACTGCACTTACAAACAAAGTATGAAAATACCACTTGGATTTTTTCCACCGTGCCTGGCACCTATTCTATGCTAATGTGTGTTAACTAGGGACTGTGCAGGGAAGAGTTGGCCCCTTCACTACACCTGACTTCTGTTATCCTTTCAGTTACACTCACTACCAATGTACATTGGGAGAAAGACACAATTCTTTTTTTAAAGCAGAATGAGTAAATTTGGGACTTAATTAGAAAAAAATTGCTCATTTTATCAGGGATTAGATGCCATATTAAATTTCTTTTCACTTTTTTTAACTTCTGAGAAAGCCTTCCTTTCAGGAACGGACATGTTTGTCTCCTTTACTGGGTCCCAGTAACGTGGTACCTCCTTTCTTTGAGCTACACCTTTACGCATCCCCCAATAGCTTTACTGAGACACAATTAATGTATCATAAAATTCATCCATTTAAGAGTATACAACTCCATGAGTTTAGTTTACTTACGGATAAACCGTAACCATCATGTAATCTAATTTTAGAACATCTTTATCTCAAAAAGAAATCGCATGCCCGGTGGTGGCCACTCAGCATCTGCTGCCCCGATGGAGCCCCAGGGAATCCCACCTGCCTTCCAGCTCTCCAGGTGTCTTATCCTGAGACGTTTAATATAATGGAACCAGATGCTACATGGTCTTTTGTGACTGGCTTCTTTCACTTAGTGCTATGTTGGGAGGGGTTTGTGCGCCCTCCCCCCCAGCTCTCATGTTGGATTGGTCCCCAGTGTTGGATGGAGGTGGGGCCTGGTGAGAGGGGTTTGGGTCATGGGGATAAAACCCTCATGGGGATAAATCCCAGGTGCACCTCTCCAGGGCGTGAGTGGGCGCTCACTCTGGCTTCTGAGGAGAAGTGGCACCTTCCTCGGCTTTCAGGATTCCTTCTGTTCTCTCCCTCACCTCCCACCAGGACTAAAAGCTCCCTAGAACCCCTCCAGAAGCCGATCCCCCACACCATGCTTCTGGTATAGCCTTCAGAGCCAGGAGGTGAATAAACTGCTTTCTTTATAAACTGCCCAGCCTTGGGCATTCTCTACAGCAACTCAAACAGACTAAGATACTTAGGGTGATGTTTTCAAGGTCCTTCGGCAATGCATCAACGTCAGTCCTTCACTGCTTCTTTCTATGGGAATGGTTACACCACATTTTATTTATCTATTCATTAGTTGATGGACATTTACATTTTCTCCAATTTTTTGGCTGTTATAAACAATCTTGTTTTGATCCTTCCTGTGCAAGTTATTGCAGAGGTGTTACTGCTTCCTTAGGCCTATGCTAGAAGTAGATGCTGTTTCAGGAATATGGGGAAGGAAAGATGTGTCACAGGGTCATTTTGCTTTGTACAAAAATTAGTGAGTTATCGTTCCTCTCTATTTTTACAGACAGGGTCTTCCCACGTAGCCCAGGCTGATCTCAAACTCTTGGGGTCCAGTGATCCTCCAGCCTCCCTAGGGGCTGGGAGCCCTGCATCTGGCTTGTTTTGCTATTTTAATGCTCTACTCCAAACAGTACCACACAGCACATATATGTCTGTGGTTTCTGTCTGCGTTGAGATTCCTTCTCTTATGTGGCTGAGCACACATGAATGCTCTCCCAGCCCTATAGCTTTTGCAAATGAATAGAATGTTTGTCCAAAAGTGTCTGCTAGAAACAGGAAGGCTTTCTGATCCTTTTTCCTAACCAGTTCTAGGGTAGAGATGATTGGCAGTAATGACATTCAATTATAACTGCATTACCTCACTGGAGGTGACCTCCCCGGGCTGGTCTCTGTCTGTTAGGAGGCAGCACCAGTAATTAGCAAGCCAGCACAGTATTTGGACTGAGATTTCTCTGGAGACCTGGGCAAGCATTATGTGTTCTGTTTGTTGCAGTAATAGAAAATATATCTTTCTGAGAAGTGCACGGAGACCTTGATGTGATTTATTCAAGAAAAATAGTCAATAGTCACAATTTGTTACTTCCAGCTTTTGCTGGGGAAAGATAAAAGGGAAAGAAAATCCTTGAGTGTGGTGAGTGACAAAGGGCTTGAGGCCTGGGCAGATGCACTTGACAAAGGCGCTTCTGGAATCCTCGCGCCTGGTGTCTTAATACCAGCAGGTGCGGGTGGGCCAGGAATAT